GACCTGAAGTCGGACCTTGGTGCTGGCGTTGAGGTCGAGCTGAGTGGCAAACTCAGTTGCTATAAACGAGTTGGTAGCCCCCGAGTCAAATAGTATAGTGGCGGGGGTGGCGTGTACCAGAAAGGTTTCGGAGACTATGTTGCTATCTCCAATCCTGGCTTTGCTTAGAGTAAGGATTCTCCCTTGAGTGGTTGGTGTTGTGACCTGTTGAGGTGAGGTGGCCCTGGGGTTTTTAGGTCCGCGGTTGGAGTTCATATGATTTCCTTCGGATTTCCTTTTGTACCCCAGGTGTGTCTCCCGGGGTTGGTTGGGCACTTGTTGTAGTTGGGATGCCTTGGCATAGGCCTCCCCGAGGGTTCCTAACTCTTGTGTGGCCAGGGCTTTTTGATATTCGGGGTCAAGGCCTGTTATGAACTTTTCGATCTTGATCCTCTCGGTGGGTACTAGCTCTGGGATGAGGCGAGCCAGTCGGTGGAATTGTTGGTAGTATTCCGTGATCGAGGTTGCACCTTGTCTTAGGTGGGAGAATTCTTCGTATATGGTGGCTCTTAGATGATTGGGATAGAATCGTTCTCGTAGTCGTGCCTTTAGGGATTCCCAGTTGAATTCATGGTTATGTTTACATGTTGGTCCCTCGTGGTCCCACCAGGTATCGGCCTCATGCTTGAAGTAGAAGGAGGCTATTCTTACTTGGTGGTCTTCGGGGCATTTGGTTGCCCTGAATATCTTGTCGAAAGTTCCGATCCATTCCTCGAGGGCTGTGGGGTCTTCGTTCCCTGAGAAGGTGGGTGGTTGATGTGCTGAGACTTGGTGGTGGATTTCCAAGTTCTCGTTTCTTGGTAAGGGTTGGGGAATGGTAGTCCTCAGTGCCTGGGCAATTTGGGCCAGGCGTTGCAGATTCTGTGTCAAGAATTCCTGAGTGGGGAGTTTCGGTGTTCCTGTCTGTCCCTTTTTCGGTGCCATCCTGGTGTTCATAAGTCGATGTTATTTTGTATTCTTACCTGGATGCAACAAGTGAAGGGGGGAGTTTCTTTTTAGAGAGGGAGTAAGTGGGTGGGTTATGTGTAGGTTTCACAATCTCACCGCGCGTCCAAGGATTTCCAAATCTTATGTTCCTAAGTACCTAGAGTTTGAGCTTAAAGTCCTAAAGTCTGGTCTAAGAGTCTTACCCTAGGGTCAATCTTAGGCTCTGATACCAACTGTAACACCCCAGATTTTCAAGATATTTAAAACTTATAAAATAAAGGTGAAATCTCATTAAATCCCAAAACATAATACAAGAGTACGAGGTGCTATGCCACACTTGAGCTAGAGAACTCAGGTGCACAGGCTAACTAACTAATATCCTCAATAATGTAACGCATAAACATGGCACGCAAGCCGAAAGGGAAGCTATCTACTTCTACGTTCCAAGTTCTAGCGCGCTCCAGTAACCTACTCTTCTGTGCCTGAAAGCCAAATATATCTGTTCAGCGAGAGATGCTGGTAACCCACTCCAACGCATTGAAATACAATACATATAGATATATATATATAGATATATGAAAAGTCATTTTGAACATGAAGATATATCCTACGAACTCTAGCTTTTAAAACAGGGATAGACTCAACAGATAGGGCTAAGCATGGACAGCAGCTATACCAAGCATATACAGTTTGCAACAGGCAAGACAGATAAGATAAGCACAATTAATAATCATAACCCAACATATACGATCCCTGGTACAAATCCCATAGTCTCATCCCCAAGATACTCATAACAACAACTCATCCATACTTCATCACAAGATATATAAACGATCTAAATCATATCTTTAATTGTACTATATTATATTTGATGTTCTAATTTAAATAATTATATATTGATTCATATATTATTAATATATTACAACAAATCCATTCCGTGCATCGCACGGGTGCAAATACTAGTTAATAAGAGTAATAAAATTAAAAAAAAAAAAACAAGGGTAAAATAGACAATCCATATCCCCTTTTTTTTTTTCCATCTTTCATGGAAAACAAAATCCTTGATCCAACCAAAGATTTTGTTTCCTCAAATTTGAGGAATTCATTTTCCAATGGAAAACAAATTCCATGAACTAAACACCAGAAAACAACATTTTCTTCCACTTTACAGGGCGTTTGGTTGGAGGGGGGAATTATGTGGGAAGAGAATTGTAATTCCATGGGAGTTGAATTACTGGGAATAAAGTGGGAATTTAAATTCCAGTGTTTGGTTGACAGGAATAGAATTACTGGGAATTTCAATTCCAATGTTTGGTATACATGGGAATTGAAAGGGAATAAGTAGTATAAAGTCAAAAATGTCCATTATTGTTGTTAGACATTAATTTTAGGCTAAAAAGGAAGGAATAATTTTGACTCATCACTATCTTTTTTTCCCAGGAATTAAAATACCAGGGGGGACATGTGATTTTAATTCCATGAAAATGGGGGAATTACAATTCCATGGAATTGCAATTCCCTCCAACCAAACTACGGAATTTAATGGCCTTTGAAATTAGGTGGGAATTAAGTGGGAAGGGAATTTAAAATCCCTCCAACCAAACGCCCTGTTAAGAAAAATATTTTTCTTTAAAAAACATTTTCCATGAACCAAAAGATCCCCTTAAAAAAAAAAAAAGAAAAAAAAAATTTCTCCGGAAAACGGTATCTTGTTTTATTTCGTACTTTCCACACGGTCGGCTGCTTAAACTATTATTTCCTTTCTGAAAAGAAAGAAAAAAAAAAAAACTATTACTTCCTTCACTTGCAAACAAAAAGCTTGACTTTTTATAGGGACGACAACTGTAACCAAGATTCTAATTTCAGAAAATGATTTGATGATTTTTTTTTAATTGGAATTTTGATATTATTATTATTATTATTATTATTATTATTATTATTATTATTATTATTATTATTATTATTATTATTATATTTTATAGGAAATGCTACTATGCCGATTGATATTGTACCTCTTCATACTATATAGGTCAAAGTACTTATGAGGTCCTTGTACTATAGTATTTTATTCAATTTAATCATTTTATCTTAATTTTATTCAATTTAATCCCTATACTTTAAAAAGTGAAACAATTAAGGACAATAGCTTATGTAGCATTGGCATTATATGTCACGTCATCATACTTACATGCTAACTCATATATTATTTTAAAGAAGGTCGCAAGTGAAACATGTAGATAAACCTGATCATTAGCCTTAATTAGATCAAGTGTTCTTTGAAAACAAAAGTTCGCCACCTACAATCTTCAATAATGTGCACCAGAAGACACAATACTGTGCTCTGAAAAGCACAACAATGTGCAATGGAAGTCTTGAACACTCCGTTGAAGGGCCTTCGGAATTCAAGTGACTTGATATTCAGCTTATATGTTTGTTCTTCATTGAAGGGCCACCAGGTTCAACTGGCTTGATTTTCAATAGAGGTTTGGATAAACATGATTGACATAATCTTCATGGAGGGGCTTTTATTTTCATGATCATTTTATTGTGATCTATGAATAATATTTTCAAATGTTTACATTATTTTTTCCTATGATGTTTACATAGAAATGAAAACTCCAGTTTATAGCGGTAGGATATAAGAGTTTTCATAAGTTCAAACTCTTTTGATATTATCTAATTAAACAAATTAGATAATATTAAGACTATCCAAAATATTCAAATATTTTAATATTATCTTTATTAAATTTTCAATGTCAACCAATGCACGTTTTTAAAAATAATTTCATTCTAACCCTTGATCTGGACTAAACTAATGAATGAGACTAAATCATATTTTCCACTTAAAGGAAGCTTTTCACCTAATCTCTTTTATATATATATATATATATATATATATATATATATATATATATATATATATATATAGGGAAGGGTTCAGGGGTATAGTTTCCCGTGCGGTTAGATCTGAGTCGTTGATCAAATCTAGATCAACGGCTCAAATCAATGAAAATTAAAAAAAAAAAAAAAAAAAAAAAAAAAAAAAAACCGCGTGTCTGGAAGTAAGAAGCATAAGCTAAAAATGGTGCACCTTAAGTGATAGAAACACGCAGCTTAAGTGTTAGATCTTAAGCACAAACTCACGCACATTAAGTACAAACTCCACGCACATTAAGCACAACCCCACGCACATTAAGTACAAAACCCACGCACTTTAATTATTAACTCACATACCTTAAGTTTCAACAACTACTGACATTAAGCACAAACTTACGCATATTAAGTACAAAACTCACGCACATTAAAAACAAAACCCGCGCACTTTAAGTATTAACTCACAGACCTTAAGTTTCAACAACTACTGACATTAATCACTAACCTCACACACATTAAGCACAAACCCTACGCACATTAAGCACAAACTCTACTCACATTAAGAACAAATCTCACGTACCTTAAGTAAAAAAACCTACACTTTAAGTTTTTACAACTACTCACATTAAGCTCAAATCCACGCACATTAAGCACAAAACTCACGCACCTTACGCACAAGACTCACGCATCTTATATACAAAACTCACGCACATTAATCACAGAACCGCTCACCTTAATTTTGACCTAGATGCAAAAATTACAAAATTGCCACCGCGTTTTTTTTAAAAAAAATTTTGATAATCCTGGACGTTGATTTAAGCGAGATGAATCACCCAGATTAAACCGCACAACCACATTTGGGCACCCTAACAGCACCAGAACCTAATTATATATATATATATATATATATATATATATATATATATATATATATATATTTGTTTATTTATTTATTTATTTATTTATGTCCGGTGAAAACTAGATAAAAATAACAGTTTTCTCATTTTTTTTTGGAGAATTAATAGTTATCTTAAAGTAGAATAAATAAGAAAGAGAAGATTTTGAAATATAGAACTAAACAGAATATTCTTTCCTTGATCACCAATTAAGGAGATTCTAATCTACCAAAATCTACGGGCAGTTACGCCATGATTCTTGAGATTGTGGGCACGATTCCTCACGACCATTGACTTAGTTAATTGTTGGTCCCGATGAATTAGGTTATAAATATGGAATGGTGAATAAACTTGAACTCGAAATTGAAGTTTTAACACAAAATATGCAACGGAAATATATTAACCACTTTTTAATTATCTTGCAGTTTTTTTTATCTTGCAAATACTTAGGTTGGTTGGTTAATACTAAATATATATAAATGCCTATAAATAAAGAGAGAGCGAGATTTTTATTGTGGTTCGATCAAATTCAGCCTACTTCATTCTTTTCCTAAAACTCCTAAGAAGATTTGCACTATTATCACTTAGTATACAATAGAGAGGACCCGAGCCTTGGCCACAAAACTGGCCTAAAGTTTTAGGTTTTTAACAAATATAAATCACTTGTTACTCCGCATCTTTCTACTTTTTCGAGTAGAGATTATTGGTTGATCACACAAAATTGTTGACTCTCCAACTTGATGTAGACATGGCCTGGGATCTTCTTAATGATTGCCAAAGTCTTGAGTTTGATCTTGAATTTTTTTAGCTCTTGAGATTTATTTCTCACTGATCGCGGGTTTGAATACTGAATTATATTCCTTTTCTCTCTTAGCACTTGTAAGCTAACAAACACCTTATTCAGCTTCGAATCGAGGTATTTATAGACTCATTTGAATATGTCCAATGAAGTGTTCAATGGATTTTAATCGAAGATTTCCCATCAACGCCAACTTCTTGATCAAATCTTTGGTGTACTTGGTTTGGTTGATGAAGATTCCTTCATCATTTTGCTTGACTTGCAATCCCAAGAAATAATTGAGTTCTCTCATCATGCTCATCTGGAACTTGCTCTTCATTAGCTCAAAGAATTTCTCACACAGCAAAGGGTTGGTGCTCCCAAAGATGATGTTATCAACATAAATTTGAACTAACAGAATATGATCACCATACTTGATTCGATATAGGCATTAATATTATACTCCGTTTTTTTGGCAAATGGTAAATATATAGTAATTGCTTGTCTTTGAAATATTAATGCCTTTTAGTTCCTCCTATTTTTGGCATTAAATTCATAATTAAATTATTATTCAATTTTGGACAAATATTAAGTTTTAAATTTACTATTTGAATTTTAATTTAATATTAAAATGTATATTAAATTACCTGAAATATTGCAATTTCTCTAGGATATATATATATATATATATATATATATATATATATATATATATATATATATGAGTTAATATATATTAAAATGTAAAATCCAAGCATGCTATGTATGTTTATAATCATTTTATTGTTATAATTATGCATTTAGAAAAAGCATGTTTTAAGGATGGATTTAATATATTATTAACTCATAGTCTAAATATTAAATATCATTCAACCTTGGATCCTTAGGCCAATTTAAGATATTATGGTCCATTAAGACAGCTTGTTTGGTTTCTCATTTAATTTTGAGCATATTTAAGTCCTATATTTCACTTGAGACTTTAAAACTTATTTTGAACAAACTATTTGGGACCTATCTTGGGGTCATTAAAGTATGGATCCCACCATTTTGATTGATATTTTAAATAATAATTATAACTATTTTATTTGACTTATAACATATTCATTATGGTAATAATATTGATTATTATGCATAACATGTTCACGTACTAAGTCTTAATGGGTCATTAAAGTATGGATCCCACCATTTTGATTGATATTTTAAATAATAATTATAACTATTTTATTTGACTTATAACATGTTTATTATGGTAATAATATTGATTATTATGCATAACATGTTCACGTACTAAGTCTTAATTATTACTGACTACCATATTTTGTTAATGGTATTCATGGTTGGTAATAATATTAAGTTTGGATATATTTCAATACTAGACCATTTTATATCCATGTCATATAACTCACTTGGATCATTGAGTTTTTGGGTCTAATTTGAGTGATTAAGTGCTATAATTATTATCTTAGGTCTATTTATGATCCATTAAGAATTTAAGAATTATAATTGTTATTTTGGCCATTGAGAATTACAACTATTGTTTAAGTTGATTATATATATATTTTTAATCTATCAATAGTTTTCAGGGTCTTAATAATAATATTAATTCATTTAATAATATAGTAAGCAATATAGTTGGTATATTGCCTTTACATGGTAATTTGATTATTACCTTAATTTTAGTCTCCCTAAAAGACATTATAATCCTGGTTAATTATTATGTGATAATATGAGATTGGCATTCAGTATCCCTTAATTACAGTTTTGCTTTTTATTACAGTTAATAAATGGCATTATTAATTAATCTTATTAAATTTAGGGGTTAATCTCGTTTATTACCTTTCATAATAATTATTATTGCTTGGTAATCTATTATGTTTAGAAAGATTACCTATTTGGTGATTATTGTTATGTGACGTTGCATTGAGGTTACTGACGGTGAAGATGTGAGAATTTTAGCACTATGGGAGATGCGATTTGCATCATTAAGGTAAGTCATTAAGTTTTTATCATTATTTTTTGATAAATAATGCTACAGTTATAGTTTGACTACTATATTTTTTGAAATTGCCACATTTTATTTCTTTATTTAAAAAAAATGAAAACATTAAGAAGGTGTATTACAATACTTTTGTTGTTATTATGAAATGTAAATGGTGATTATAAAATTATTTATTACCATTAATACTTTAATGATGACATTATTATTATGGTTTATTTATGAATCCTGAATTGTTCCCAATTATGTTTATGTGGCAATGCTTCAGACAAGAAATTTTTTGTTTAGGCAACTAACTATTGCCATTACTGTACATTTATTCCATAATTCATTTAGTCTTTGAATTATGATTAATGTTATTGCACATATTTGGTTATGTGTGATTCATATTCTTTGGACTGTTATTTTATGCATTTGATCATATTAAGTGCGTAATATTAAGTTTAATTATGTAATTAGGGTTTGTAGATTTTAATTTACAAATGACAACATATCATTTTGGCTTGATATTGTTATAATTTGTGAATTCAGTTATTTCTCATAAATTTGATCTTTATGCATTAAAACATTTTGTCATGGGCTTACAATTTAAAATATCAAAGATTATTGAAATCTCATATTGTAAATTGCTTTAAGTTATGCAATTTGTTTGGAATATATGAGTTTAATGTTTAATTGTATGCTTTTTTTTTGTCCTAAGCATAATATTCTGTTTTAAATTATGCAATTTTTATTATGCCTTTAGCAATGCATAAATTTGGAATGGAATTATATTAGTTCCTAATTAAGTTGGACTAATGCATAAACTTTAGTTGCGGCAGTGTCTGAATTTAAGCACGTTTAGTCCGTTAATTGAATATACAATCTTTAGATCTTCCAAACGATTTTACTTCAAACATGAGAACGCATGACTTAGGGAAGTTTCTTGGGGAGGAATACTAGTTCTATGGCCCTGGCTTAAAAACCTTGTTGCTACTAGTCCCCTTGCAACACTACTCTGTCTAAGGAGTTGGTATTTAACCGAGCTTCATCTCGACTAGCTTTCTCGACCAACTTTCCTGGGAGTATACCTAATAATTGTCTATCATGTGTTGGTTTAATTTGTTTGTTAGGCTTTAAATTCCCCTTTTGCCAAGTGATTACAATTTTAGATTAATTAAAGAGTAGTCACAACATCTTTAATTTACTAAAATTGTCTAAAGTTTAAATTACATGAAGATGACAATGATAATTGTCTTGATCTTATAATTTTAATTTGGTTGGGGAGTAGCCACAACATCCTTAATCAGTTAAAATTATATATTAAGCGGTTTATCTTGATCACATAAAACTTTAGACATATCGTTTGTGATTAGTTATATGTAATATGATGGAATTTAGCCCACATGCAATTTTTTTTATATTTGTATAATTAATAAGGATTCATCCTGGACTACGGTCATAATTTAGCCCACATGCAATTATGTATCGAATGTAGTTTAGTAGTTTTATCAGTAATGATAGAAATAAATCAAATTTATTTAATTTATGTTTATTTGTAAATAATTCCATCTCTATCATAAAGTTTAATTTTATGATGTAAACTTTAGATCATATTTCTTAATTTATCCACATGGATTAAGGAAAGGAACATGATTTCTCAATTTTTTATTAGGGAAAATGGCACTTTTTCCCCCTGAGTTATATACTTATAGCACTTTTTTCCCCCTCAATTATTTAGGTAAGCACATTAGCCCCCTCAATTATTCTAAAAGTGGTTATTTCCATCCTTGATATATTAAATTGACATTTCTACCCTTAAAGTAAACATTTTATTTATTTTACTTCTCCAACAAATTATTGCGTATACGTAGGGATGACCACGGTTCAATTCGAACTGAACTGGACACTAAAGCAATCGAATTTAAAGTTTCCGTTATGATTCAGATCTAGAACCCAATATTTGGATTTTAATTTATTAAAATTATGAATTAAAAAAAAATGGATCCTGAACCGTGAACCGACGGTTCTGGATCCGGTTTGCGATTTTGAACTGTCTTTATTTTAAAATTTTGTTTTTTTTTTTTAATTTTAAAATAGTCTAAATTCAACAATAAATGTATTTTATTTTTTCAGTTCGGAACTTGAACCGTCTGGTCTGGTTCGCGATTTTAATAAACTCTAAATATCGGGTTTCGATTCTAAATTGTAATTGGAATATTTCGGATTGGTTGCTATAGCGTTTGTTTGGTTTAAACCAAATTATGGTCATAATTTGTTGGAGAAGAAAAATAAATGAAATATTTATTTTAAGGGTAAATATGTCCATTTAACATTTCAGGGGGAAAAACAGCCACTTCAATAATTTAGGGGGGAAAAGTGCTATAGGTATAACGGTATATAACTCAGGGGTAAAAAGTGCCATTTTCCCTTTTTATTATAATAGTTGTAATGAATCTTATTGAGTAAAACTTTAGCCTACAGGCAAGTTTTATGTCACTTGATTCTTCAACTTAATTATTT